AGACCCCCCGGCAGCCTTGTCCCCGAGAAGACGCAGAGGCCCGAGGGCCGCGGTGCCACCATGCACCGCACAACGCCCTGGGCAGGGCACGGCCTATTTTCAGCAGACAAAAAGGGTAATACGCATGGACAGGTATTATCTAATTCCCTTTCTATTTTAGGTTTCCTTTTGATTATTTATTTTTTTAAATTAAAAAAAAAAAAAAAGACTCCTTGTTTCATATGCATTTTTTTCCCTTGGATTTGTTTCAGCAGCAGTCAGAAGTGCCCCCACTGAGATCTGTAATGCTGCAGGATGTCACATTTCACAGCACGGTATTTGAAGTCTCTTTCAAATGCTTCAACTCATGGAGGTTAGAGTTTCTGCTGACATTGGCAGTTGATGTTAGAAATTCTCCAAGGCTGCCAGTTATTCCAGCAGGGCTCTAAAGTGCTAGGAAAGCACTTCCAAATGTTGCTGTTAAAGGTTATAAAAAGGTACTGGAAAAATCAGCACATTTCTGCCAATCCCAGCCAGACTTTTGTCTTGCCTTACGACCTCCACCCTTTCTAATATCCTTGTCTAAGCCTCCCCTCACTTCAAAAAACTGTCTTATTAGTTTGAGGCTTCTCAGAGCTGGACTCATTGCAAGGCTTTTGTGGCTGCAGTAGGTTCAAAATCAGTATCAGTCCTCGCACAGAAGCGTCCAAGTGTCAGGAAAAGAGCTGACAGTCAAGTATTGGAGAAGATAATAATGAGCACAGGAATAACGAGCTATCAGCAACTGTCTTGAAAGGCCAGAATCCCACTGCAGTTCTCCTCTCCCTTAGCCCCTGAGCTGGACCGAGGGCTTGCAAGCCCATCACTACCCCTCTGGATGTATCTCCTAAAGCAAAAGCTTCCATCTGTGGCCTGAGGAACACCCAAACGCATCAGTTGATGCAAAGGCTCTAGTAGGTATGGCTGGGCACAGCGCTTGTAGAACCCATCTAGCCAGAACAAAGCATCTGGAGGAACATTGCTTTACGTGGCAGGCTGCTGTCCATGTCTCCAGCCGAAACCACGTGCTGTGGACTCAACGCCCATGCAGGGAAAAGGCACAAAGGACCAGCAATGCCTCGTTTTTCCTGGATTTGATCTCTGCCCTGAGGATTTAGCCCACACGGATTCACAGCCTCACAATGGCACCAAGTCAGCGAGCTGTGATAGCCTTGTTCCAGAGCACACACAGCAGAGGGACTGCTGGGGGATCAGAATGTGATCCTCAACTTCTGCTGACACAACAGGAACCTTTTAATGTGAAGAGCTGCGAGCTGAGCTGGTGGGAGCTGATGTCTAACCAGCCACAGCTGCCCAGGAGCGACGTGAACAGCAGGCAGAGGAGTGGAAATGGCTTGAGCCTGCCTCAGGCACAGGGCAGGTTAGTGTGTGCTGTATAAAACAGTGCAAAGGCTGAGACAGCTTCACACTACTGTAAGACGGTGGCAGGAGCACCTCTGTCTGGAGACTGCATGCAGGACAGCTGTGCAGTCCTCCAGGTTTCTCTGGGGACTGACAATCCCCCCCAACAGACCTGCCTGTTCTCCCCAGTCTACCAACTGAGCACCAACAAATTTGTTGCAGGCATGGCTGTAACTGGAAGCAGCGGTTGCGCTGGAAAACACAGCTCTTTGGTGTGAGGCTCCTTCAAGGGAGTTGCAGGAAGGAATTAAAAAAAAAAAAAGAGAAGTAGGGTGGTTACTGAAGCTGCTAACCACAGTGCCAGGGAGCCTCGGAGGGCACCAGGACAGCCCAACATCACATGCCTAACGCATCCTGTCTCCAGACTTCCTCGCCTGCGATGTACGTGGCTTGCACATACAGACCGTCATTCAGCATCAGGAAATCTGCATCAGACAAGAGAGAAAGGAAGCAGCTGTTGGAGAAACAGAAGCTGAAGCTGGCTGAAGAGCTGGGCTCAGTGGGGAAGGGCTTCTCCCCACCCCAAAATGGCAGCAGGACGGCAGGGTGGTGCCATCCTTGCTATGGCAGCTCTGCTTCATGGTTGGCTGAGATGTGGGGTCTCTCCAAAGGGCTCATGAAACACTACCAGCACCCATGGGAAAAACTACTGGAGCAAAAGCCCAGGGCAAATCCCAGGCAGAGTGAGTCTCCCTGCAGCTCCCACCGAAGCAGGGGATGAAGATGTGTCGCAGCAACCCTTGCTTTACTCCAGCACCTGGGAGCCCTCACACCATTGTCCCCATACCAGTACCTCCTGTCCCCATACCAGTACCTGCATCTGAGTCGTAATTTAGTGTCCCCTTTTTGTGCTCAATCCCCAGGAGCTGGGCAGGATGCAGAGACGCTGCCTCCAACGCGGTCTCTACTGAGCACCCTTGGACAGAGAAGGGAGGAAATGTTAGGGCAGCAAACAGCCCTGTTGTCAGAGCAGCCCAAACTCCCCTGGCTAAGACAGCTGTCAACCTGGCAGGGACATAAGCTGGAACACCCTCACCACAGCCATATGGAGCTGGGGAGGGGAAACATCCCTACTAGAGACAGTGGGAAGAAGAGAACTGAATGCCTAGGGTATGGGGAGGGGGAAATCATTCACCTTTGTGAGAAAGGAGCAGGAGAGTTCACGTCTCATTAGTGCTACGGGTTAAAATGAAACCTCCCCTCAAAAAGGTGCTCATCTGAGGCCAGTGCTGCTGATCCCTGCCCTTCATATCATGTCTCGGCGAGAGGGAACGTGCCATGGTGGAACAGACACAGCTGGCAAGAGCGAGACCTTTTCCCACATCAACACAGGGAGCAGTAGCTTGTGGGCGAGGGTCACTTACCTGTGGCTTCTTGGAAGTGTCGCACACAGGTGTCCATGGTCGCCACACTACCGCTCAAGGTCTTTGTGCCTGGGAGAGGAACAGCATGGCACCAAGCAGGTCCCACAACTCATAGCAAGGAGAAGCGGGGTGGTGGGAAAGCAGAACATGATCAGAAGGGTCAGAAATGCTGGGTTGCATGAGGAGCAAGTTGAAGGGCCTGCAGCCATGGCTGCCGAGTGACAGAATGAGGCAAGAGAGAGCCTGTGCTGGCAGCGGAGGGACAGGCACCAGCACGTCACCCTGAAGCTCCACCACAAGACCAGCTGGACTGGGTGAAACTGACTCACAACACAGGCACCTGCTGCCAGAGACGGAGGAAAGGAACTGAGGATAGAATGGTCCTTCTCTGAAATACCTTCCCAGTCTCCAACTGCTTGCAGCTTAGGGAACTTAGCAAGAAGTGGTGGTTATAGTGAAGACAAGGGACAACAAATATCTGTGGGATATTCTCTGTCCTTTCTGACCCCGCTGGAACCTCTAGCATCCACGACACTGGGTAGTGAGGCATTCAAAGGTGTTGCAGACAGTTATAAACTGACAGATTCTTCCTTGCTCCACCAAGACGGGCCGCTTCCCCTCTTCACGACGTGCCTCATTCTGCCCAGGGCCAAGTCGCTGCAGAGCCATCGAGCACCAAAACCCAAGAGGGTGGCACAAGCGCCACCTCACACTGGTGGGCACTGCAAGCTGTGCTGAAGCTCTCCAGGAATAGGCACGAGGGGCAGCACCGTCCCCAGCGCTTTAGCAAGAGGCACTTACCTGCAATGTAGGTGTTCAGCCCATCGATCTCCACCACCTGCTGACCCAGCGTGTGCCGACCTGGTGCCAGCCCCATGCCAGCAATCGCATCTGTCACCAGCACCAGCCCTGAGGAATGCAAGGAAAGGGGCTACATTAGCTTTGCAGCTGATCTTGCTGCAGCTCTGAGCACTGCACTGTGCTTGTCCTCCCAGAGAGGGACCAAAGCATCTCTAGCCATGTCCGACCAAAGCGAGAGGGCTAGTGGATTAGCACGCATGGCTGTGACCTCTTTCAGGCAGCCAGGGCAGCGTGCCACAGCACTTGCGTGTTTTGTGGGAGACGGCACAGCACTCGGGATGGCTGGTGACACTGCGTGGGCCTGGCTCACCTTTGGGGTGGGCTCGGTGGGCGATTCGCAGGGCGGCAGGGTTGGTGTGGATGCCATCAGAGATCATGCCATAGAAGACCCTCCGCCCAGCAGGAACCT